AAAGGCTAGGGGTGCCTGCAAAGGCGGTGGTCTTCAGGTCGCTCTTCCTATGCCGTTTGTGTCCGTCCACCAGCGGGACGAGATGGTACTACGTCTCGGGCAGGGAGAAGATGTTGATCTTCACCAACATCAAAAATAAGGTAGCGAGGTGGAAAAGACAGTTCGTGTTCGTGCGGGATACGCGAACTGACAGGATGAACAACGAGCTCGCCGCCCGTCTGTCAGAGTGGCGCACGCCGAACGCATATATGAACTATCCTCAGCTGACCAGTGGCGACGTCGACCTGAAGAATCGGCTACTCGACTATGTGAAGGCGAGGGGGCTAGTGGATTTGGAAACCTTGGTTACCCCGGAGCAGATCGCAGTTCTCAGATTTGTCGATGTGGCAAATCTACACTCTCAAGGTATATCTTTATATACTGGTATAGCTTCTAGACGATCTGAGTCTTATGCTTTTGTTTGTGCAGGAGTCATGAGCAGCATCCTTGAGCGTCAACGACAGAGAGCGCAAGGCTCCAGGAATCGGGGAGCCGGGTCGGGTTCCCAACGCCAGTCTCGTTTTGACGAGCGGCCACCTGCTGCACCAGGGCGCAGCTCGCAACACAGAAGTTCCAGCTCGGCACAGAGGCCACGTGCCGAGCAAATAGTCGAGTCTGCGCCTTCCAGCTCCAGAAGGCGTTCGAGGGAAGATGCGGAGGCTGATGCAGAGGATGACGTGCCTCTCATACGGCGTAGGACGGGCACCGGCTCGCAGCCCGCCCCGGCTGCTGCTGCAAGAGCCTCCAACATGCCTCAAGCGCCAGCTCGGGAGGTTGCTGAGGCCGCACCGATCTCAACGTCTGTGGGGGGCCCCAGGATTGCATACCCGGACGGCTTCAGTTACGTGCGAACTGAATGCCATGCTGCTATGCTGCAGGGTATGCAGAACTTTGTGCCCCCTGCAGACCGGCTGCGTGCGAAGGGGCACATTCAACAGCATGGGGGGCATGCTGCGCTAATCAAGCTGATGGATGTAAGTACCTTTGCCGAGCTCCTTACTTGCATTTTATCACGCTTTTGTTGTAACCTGACGAATGAATATGTATTGTAGGCGTTCAGCTACACTGTCACCCTGTTTGAGTGCGAACAGGGAGCCCGAGCGCAGAACAACAAGCTCCAGAAAAGCTGCAAGCAACTGGCTGCTGAAAAAACCAGCTTGACTGACGAAGTCAGCCGTTTGCAGAGCTCGGAAATGGCAGACCGAGCAGCGTCAGCTGAAAGCCGAGCTGACGAGCTGGCCCGTAAGGTAGATGAGCTGAAGGAGGAGCTCGTGAGGGCCCGAGTGGAGAGGGAGAGCGGCATCCAGGCTGCGAATGAAGAGGCCGGTCGTGCAGAGGATCGTGCCAAAAGGGCCGAAGCTGAGAGGGAAAAGACTCTGCACGACCTGAATGTCATGGCAGAGAGGGTCTCCCGAGCTGACCTGCACGTCGCCCGAGCTGAGGCGTCCTTGGATGAGTGCAAGAGGCTCCATCAGCGGGATCTCTGCTTCGCCCGTGCGCAAGGCGCTGAATGGCTGGTTGGAGCAGAGATGTTCCAGGACGCCGTGGCAGTTGCCTCTGCCAACACCACCACGGACATTTTCAACGAGGTTCGTGGGAAGGTGCTGCAAGTGCGGGCAGATTTCCCCATCGGCGAGCTGGCTTTCTTTGAGGGCGAGGAGATTAACGAAGAAGGAAAGAGCCTAGCCCAGCCAGCGGACACCCGGGTGAGGTTGAGATGGGAGCTAAACGAGGAGGGGCTGCCCGTGTGGCCCCCCTCTGTGATCGAAGAGGGGGAGGACACAGAGGGGTTGCCAAGTTTTGACGCTTGGGTGGCGAACCCCCATGATGTGCCCGCTGAGCCTTCTAGCACGCCCCCTCTGCTCAGCCTCAGCTTGCGCCAACCGCGACTCTTGTTCGTTCTCCTACCCTTCCTCCTCCAGATCGTTCCTCACCAGCCCGGTCTGTTACTGCCCCAAACGACGCATCTATTCCCGTCGACCTGACGGATGACTAGCTTAGGATTTTTTGTTCTGTTTTTGTATGTTTGTGTTAATCAATGAATTTATTTACTCAATGTACTACACTTGTAAAATTTCATTGATGAAATACAAATTCAAGTCTTTTGTTCTGAAACTCCTGTGTTGAATGTTCAATAAGTCACTGTTTACAAATGATCAGTAACGACCTGAGCATTAATAATATACACGTTAACTATAAAACTTTCTAAGATTGTGTATGTTCCATATGAACGACAACGGACGACCTTGTAAATCTGCTAATTGATAACACCCAGGTCGTTTAATATTAATAACCATATAAGGGCCTTCCCAATTAGGGGCGAGCTTGCCCATATGCGAATAGGCATTGGTTAATCCAGCTTTGCGGAGAACCAGATCGCCGAGCTGAAACTGTCGAGCTCGAACTCTCTTGTAATAAAACTTTGCCACACGGCTTTGGTGTGCCATGTTCCTAATTCGAGCCATTTCCCTGACTTCCTCCACTAGGTCTAGGTTTTCTCTTAGGAGTTGCCCGTTATTCTGATCATCCTGATGATCTGATTTAACAGATGGTAGACCGACTTCGACAGGGATGACGGCCTCGGCTCCATATGCCAGGCTGAACGGAGTTTCGCCCGTGGCCGAGCTGGGTGTCGTACGACATGACCAAAGTACTTTATTGAGCTCATCGACCCAATTAGAACGCGCGGTTATAACGCGCGTCTTGAGGCCTCGCAAAACGATTTTATTGGCAGACTCGGCCTGTCCATTTGACTGCGGAGTGTACACAGATGTTAAGGAGAGCTCAATGCCATAGTCCTTGCAGAACGATCTCAGTGTTGCTGCTCGGAACTGGGGCCCATTATCAGCAATAATCCGCTGAGGTATGCCAAACCTGCACCAGATGATCGAGCTGAGCTAGGAACTACTTTTGCATGTATTTTTTATTTATGACTTAAGTCACTAAAGAATACCTGCACAATATTGAATTGAATAAGAATTCTTCTATCTTCTTTTCTGTTGTCGTGGACAATGGTTTAGCTTCTATCCATTTAGTGAAGTAATCTACCGCAACGACCAGGAAAGTGCAGCCTCCTTTACCTTTGACGAAAGGGCCGAGCAGGTCGACACCCCATTGAGCAAAGGGCCAGGGAGACGTAAGAGATGATAGCATTTCCCCTGGCATGTGAATATCATCAGCATTGAACTGGCAGGTCGTGCACTTTTTGACATAGCTTTGCGCGTCCTCGATCATAGTGGGCCAGTAATACCCATGTCTTAGGAGTTTCCGAGCTAAAGTCTTGCCACCGATGTGCGTGCCACATACTCCTTCGTGGACTTCTCTCACAGCGTATTCAGCTTCATAAGGAGTAAGGCAGCGTAATAGGGGCATTGAGGCTGCTCGTTTGTAGAGCTGGTTGTCTATCAGAGTGAAATGTGCCGCCCTACGTCTAACCAGCTTTGCATCGGACTTGTCTTCAGGTAGCTCGCCACTTTGTAAATAACTTATTAGCGGGGTGGTCCAGCTCGGTGTAGAGGGGTCTGTACTCAATAGCTGACATTCGGTTGCGAGATCGGTGTAGCTTGGGGCGTCAAGTATCTCGACAATTGTTGACCTCTGAGGGTTAATGTCCTGCGAGGAGGCCAACTTGGACATCTTGTCGGCTCGGTGGTTATCTGCTCTGGGTATTTTATCAATTTGGAAAAGAACAAACATTGACTTCAGTCTGTTGACCACAAAGGCATAACGGCCGAGTTGGGGGTCCCTGATCTCACAGCTGCCATTGACTTGGCCTACCACGAGCTGAGAGTCACTAAAGACCTGAATGCTTTGTACCTTCAGCTCGGATGCCACCTTTAGTCCGTAAATGAGGGCTTCATATTCTGCAGCGTTATTAGTCGTCTGAAACTTAAACCTTAGTGCGTGCTCAGACTTAAAGCCATCTGGGCCCACTAACACAGCTCCAGCACCTGATCCCTCTATGTTAGCTGCTCCATCAACATATAAAACCCAGACAGGGTGTTCAGGTCCTTTTTCTTCCTTTGTCGCTGAGATGCACTCCACCAGAAAGTCCGCGACGGCCTGACCTTTTATGGTTGTGCGCGGCTGAAATTTGAGGTCATATTCGCTCAGCTCGATGCTCCATCCAACAAGCCGACCTGAGAGTTCAAGTTTCTGCAGTATTTTTCTCAACGGCAAATCGGTATAGACAACAATCTGGTGTGATTGGAAATAAGCCCTCAACTTACGAGCTGTGTACACCAGGGCAAATGCCGCCTTTTCTGCTAATGGATAGTTCTGCTCTGCACCTTGTAAAACCTTGCTCACGTAGCAGATAGGTTTTTGATTCTTATTCTCTTCCCTGAGTAAAACGGAGCTCACTGCCTCTCCTGTAACTCCCATATACAGGTATAGACTCTCCCCTTCCACAGGTTTAGACAGCAGGGGTGCAGATGTTAGATATTGCTTAAGCTCGTCAAACGCCTGCTGACACTCGTCGGTCCATTGA